TAAGAGCTCTTATATGAAACCCAACCTCCGACGCACCAGGCTTGCCGATACGATTATGCTTTTTTGCGCTAAACTTGGAGTAATCAGATCGTTAACAGTATGAATGGTTCTTGCGTACTCCTGTTGACTGTATTTTGACCTTGAGCCTCAAGCGTGCATCATTATCAATTTTGCATGAAGAGAAACGAATAGTTTTCGGTGACCAGTTTGTTTATCGAAAAATGCAAATTTTATAATGAACGGGATGCCGAGAACGAAGGACTAAGAAAATCCACAAAACGCATTCCTTTTGAAGCTGCAATAAAACTGAGTGTCTCCCATGTCCATGTGTAAAGAATATGGCCGCCTAGGTGAATCTGGACTACACATGAATACAAAATATCCTTACGAAGTTTCCGCTTTGCAGTTTGTCCGGTAAGCGAAACAGCTGCTTCACTACAAATATCTTTGACGTACTCTAAAGCGTGGCGTAAGTGCAAATCGGAACTTGATTTACGCATATGAGCTCCCAAATCGACGATAAATATTCTTGCAAATTTACAGCTACTGTTTTCCAGCTTATTTTCGAGATCGCGTGGTGCAGTTTATGGACTTCGACGTGACCGAATGTAAGACATAAGCGCGCGCGATGGCTGCATTTGAAATGTTTAGCTCACACATGGACACAGAATGCCCCTGCAAAGTTTCCAGTTCCCTACTCTTACTGGTTCCAGAAATGCTTCCCCGACAAAAAATTTCCATATATCTCCATGTGATCCGTAAGTGAGATCTAGGGACGCATTAGTGATGATTTTAAAATTGAGTGTGATACAACGGGGGGAGGAGGGGGGAGGGGGAGGGGCAGAGGGAGGGACGGGGGAGAGGGGAATTACATTCTCAAAATTTCAGCTTCCTAGCGGTCCTGGGTCTGATTTGAAAATGGGTGGCAAAGTTCATTCGCTTTTCATAACACGAATATATATATATATATGTATATATACATACACACACAGACAACCTCTCGACAATATACATTTCTGCGTTTGCATAAAATGCATAGAAAATCCCTTAAATTATACCAAAAACACGGCGTAAAGAAATGAGCCAAGCAAAGATGCAGTTGATTTTTGCGAAAAGGAAACTCCTGTTTTTTTAAGTCAAGCACCAGTAATTACAGTTTTCACCGAAACAGCTCTAACTATTGAGGATAATACCAACCAACCTTCTGGAAATCCTTTAAAGTCTGGTTCAAAAATGCATCAGACAGAATTGATTCATTCTGCAGTTGCTGTATCAGTGATTCGGCTTCCTGCAAAAAAGGATGCAGTAATACTACGTTAGGAATAATTTACGGAAGAAGCAGCATAAGCTGTGCCTATGTGCAAGGCAAGATTACGATCTGATGCAAGTCGCTTACTTACAGCAGCGACATCTCGAAAACCATTCAGAGAGGTTTCTACTGCTCGTTTGGATGGTTCAGTGATTACTCAAAACGGTCAGGGTTGAATGAGCAAGTTACCAGGCCGGATCATATAATCGGCTAGCGCTACTTGATGGGTAAAATTCAATTGCGACCTAATGCCTCACTGCAGAAACTCTAAAATGTAATAGCGCAAGAAATACCGAAAAATAAGGAACTATGCTATACTAATAAGAGAATATAAATGGGCAAGTTACGAAGGTAAAAAAGCGATTGTTAAAAATGTATAAATTTTATGCTTCCTGCTGCTAATACTATTGCACTTGCAATGTAAAGTCGGAATCAAGCATTTTTTTTTTTGTTTAGCATTTTGTTCAGCCAGGATAAAGAAAACAATTCCCACGAGAATATTCTGACAGAATTTAAATGTTGTGGAAGCGGTTTTGGCGATCCTACTAAAGACTTATTAAATTTTTCGCTAACGCTTTTATGCCTGAAAAAAATGTGATTGCATGTGAGATGATAGTATGACAGTAAGTCACAGTGAACTTCACACCTTTCTATCACTGATTGCTTTGGCAGCGACGAATCCTTGTTCCAGGCAGTAGCCAAATAAATACTTCAAAATGACTGCCGCTTGTCCAAATGACGAACAGTTGTAGATTTCCTGTTCAGCAATACGGCAAGCCTCCGCATCGGCTGCACCCGAGTCCTTGAAATAAGAACAAATAAAATGCGCTTGACCAGAACACATTTTTACCCCATATGCAAATCATTGCTGAAACGATGCACCCCAAGCTACTAGCAGCAAAATACTCCTGAAAAGGAAGGAGGATTTCAAGCCGAATTAGAGTTGGTAAAACAACCAGCTATTCTACAACTCGCCCATTCGTTTCGACGGTAAATTGGTACCAATGAATACTAGAGAATCCAACTCGCGGCCAGTTTGCTTGTAAGCAGCTTTCGAAAGAGGGAGCTATCGGTAGTC